TAAGCAGCCTTTAATTCACCAGTCATTTTAAATGAGGAGTAGTGAAAGTTTTAAAGCCTCAAGTGCTTCTGTGCAACTTTTCTGCTTCAGTTTTGTGCCCGTCCCTCAGACTGATCTGTCTTTAATCATTCCTGGGTTGTTTGAATGGGACATTGCCTTGCAGTCGTCTACACTGCTGTGAAGATGCCCTCTTGTGGCTATAGGACTGGGTTGCCATGACACTTGGTGTAAACATTTCCCACCGCAACTCAGCCTGGATGGTTTCAAGTGGTTACTGTCCGTATCCTTGCTGAGATGTGTCTCACTTCTTAGCAGCACTGCCTCATTGGCAGTGAAAAAAGGAAGTTCTGCAAGACTTCTCTTTGTACTATCAGACCTTTTAGATAAAACTTTGATTTAAAAAGATCTGGCATTAATCAAACTGGGTTTTTTGTTTGGGGCCGACTTGTAAACTTTTCTTTCCTCTATTAAAACCAAAAGATATTTTTGTATTCAAAACATGCTCCAGATACACAAATGAAAGACTTGATTTATATATGACTTCTGGACATACTTTTGCTATAAGAAAGCTTTGGGCTTAATCCAGTCCAGCCCACTTATACAATGGATGTTTTTGTTTGTAACTTCAGTTACTTTCCTGGAAGCAGCTGAGTTACAAATAGGGTTGGGGTTTTTTTTCTCCTTTTATTTTAAAAGGTAATAGTAAGCAGGTAAGATAAACAGCATATTTTGATATTCTCGTATATAGCTAAATCAGTTTCCTGCTCCTTTAGTATAGTGATTTCAAGCATCTATTTTTCATTTTTGTAAGCTGCAGTGTCATTTTTGTCTAGATCTCTGTATACTATTCTTAGTCGTGACTAAGAAACAGTTAGGATTTTTCTGGAAGTACGGGAAGGAGCTATATTAGTATTTTTTTTGGTTTGGGAAAGAAATACTCAGGCTTCACACCAATAGAAATGTTCCTGGTGTAAGTTTTTAGAGAAGAAGGTTGTTAAATGTTTGGGTTTTCATTTGGAATAAGAATAGCACGGCTCACCAAGTGAAGTCTGAGAACCTGGCGTTCCTGTCTGTAATACTAACCTCTGACATATCACATCATCTTGCTATCTTGGCTTCCCAGTCTGCTCCAGGGTCACTTGTCTGTCTGCTTCCTTTGGGACAGAATTAAAGGTTTCCAAGCCCTTTGAAATGCCCAGGGAAAGGTGTACGCTGCTTTCTGGCTCACTTGCCTCTCCCTTTTTCCTTCCCAGAATCATGCCAGAGGGTGCCACATAGAGTAACTCTTCCCCAGTTTGTCATCTCTCTTTCAGCCACTGTGGTGCTGAGCTCTCCAGCTGGCCAGGGGAAGATATACAGCTGACAGGAGTATTCCATCTGTGCAGTAGCCCTAAAAAGCATTGACTTAATCTGTGGTGCTCTGCCCTTTAGGAGGGAAAAAACCTACTAAAGAATAGTACCTTGCCCCAGTGACGAGGACTGGCTTTTGCTGGCTGGAGTTGAAGGGTCTTCAGACAGTCCTGGGCCACCACAGCTCGCTTGCTTGCTGGGTTAGCCTGAGTCTGCAGGTCTGTGGGAGCAGACTGACAGCACATTCATACTGAAGACAGTTTTTCCTGTTCTTTAGGACAAGTTTTGGTTGTTGCCTTCTCGGCTGAGTAAAGAAGAATCTGGATTTTTCTGTGTGCCTCAGGCTTCACGTAAATTTAGAGGAATTTTTCCTGGGTCAAAGAACAAAAGCTTTATTTATTTATTTATGTACTTTATTTATTTTAGTCTGTGACATCCAGAGCTCCATCTGGCTTTCAATAAGTCCAGACAAGTCTGGAGTTGGTCTCACTGTGCTTTAGTGCTGCTCCATCATGCAACTTTAACTAAGTTGTGGTGTATTTCCTAGAGATTTTTGAGCTTGAATAGGTGATGAGTACAGTTGAATTTAAAAGTCATGGAGATACAGTTCTTGCTGTACATTTGTAGCAACCTTGGAATGCTGCTTTGAGAGAAGTGATGCTACAGGGGATTATTTGGAAGAATGGGCTTTGCCAAAATAATGCATGTTTAATAAACTTCGTCTTTGAAGCTCAGAGTCCTTGAACGAGTCTAGCTCCTCTTCACCATCTGCTTTCAGGAAAACTTACTTTCCTCCTGTGGTATCTAATTTTCTCTCTTTCTGTTCCCTCCTGCCCCAGTTAAAAATTGTGATAGTGCTGTAGGGATGTTGCTGCATTGCAGTTTTCATAGAGTCACAGACCAGTTTGGGTTGGAAGGGACCTTAAAGCTCATCTAGTTCCAACCCTCTGCCATGGGCAGGGACACCTTCCACTAGAGCAGGTTGCTCAAAGCCCCATCCAGCCTGGCCTTAAGCATGGATTTGCACATGGATTCTTATTAACAGGTAGTCCAACAGCCTTTATTATGCAAATCACACCATTCCAGCTCTTAATTCCTGTGTCAAGCCCACACCTCTGTGTAGTTCCCTCATGGCCTTCAGAAAGCAGCTCATTGTGGAGGGGAGGGACTGAGGTTGGAAGGCTTTCAATGGCAACTGGGACAACTGGGCTCTTGCTCTGCAGTTTGGCCTGTGATTTGGGAGGGGTGGATTCATTCTGAGTGTTCCCAGAATCTCTTTGTGCCCTTCAGCATGTGCATAATCCTCGGAATCCTCTTTATAACCAGTGGGATATTCCTGATGATGCCCATGAGGAGCCTTCTGCCTCTTGGAGGAAGATTGACTGAAATCAGTATGATGATTACTCAGCTGTCTTCTCAGGAAGAGCAGCAGATGGGCAGTGACATGTATGAAGATGAACCAAAATGAAATAGCATCAGGTTATTTTTATCACGCAGCACAGCTAATAACATTTGTCACTTCTCCTAAATGAGTATGAACAAACTAGCAAATCAAAGCATAAAAACATGATGCATGTTGGCAATTCATGCTGCTGCTGATTCCAAGGTCTGGTTGCTGTAAGATCGCACGCTCTTGTCTATTTTACCTGCTGTGTCTGTAACAGGGATGATGTGAAGAACTCTCAGCACATGAAGACTTTTCATGGCAATTTCTATACAATAATTGTGCTGAAGCTCAGCTCTTGTGTTACACTATTTATTTTGATCTCCTTGCCAGCTGCTGGCTTTGTTGTGAGCCTGGGGAACAGAGTGCACCTCTAGCCAAGCAGGCTGGGCTTTTAATTAGCACTTATTAGAAGCATGTGTTTCTGTCTGCTGCTGCTGCACTGGAGGTGAATTGGGGCTTTAATAAGGATGGACCGTCCATGCTTGCTGCAGTGAAGTGGAGTAATTGAGTTGAAGTATTCCCTTTCCCCATTCTGGGAAAGTCTTTTCAACTGGTTGATAGCTTAAGGCAAAGCTAATGGTAGGAAGTAGGAAGACAAAAAGCTTATTTATTATCTCTAAAAGGGTGGTGATGGATGTGGAAGAAGGCTGCAGCATGCTTTCTGAAGCCAACAAAAAGCAAAGGAAAAACACCCTGACAAAACCTTACTCTTAAACTGGGGTTCTTAAGCTTCTGTGTGCTTTTCAATTCAGACATTCAATTAATTTCTACTTCTAAAGCCCTGCGTTCTGCACAGAAAAATGTAGCCAGTGCTTGCAAATAATAATGTTGCTTTTTGTTGCTTATTACTACAGGAAGCTATTTATAAACTTGTAGAGAAGGTGTTAGTGCAAATTAACACTGTTCCTGATTGAAAGGCCCAATGTTAGAATGAGTTTTGTTGTTTGTTTTTTTTTCCAAGTATCCTTGATAAATGAAATTAAAACAAATTGATATGGAAATGCTTTTTTCTGATGGAGTGTTTTTTACCAAAGGAGGGTTTGGAGGAAGCACTTGAACCAGCGGATGTTTGATTCGCATGTGTTACTGAGATTCAGTTCAGGCCATCATTACTGGTGAGGTGACCCCAAACTCATTTGCACAGCAGGAAGGCTTTAAAAATAGAAAGGTCCACTGCATGAGGCCTTGCAAGGCAGAGGCTTTAGCTCTCATTTTCTGCTTTCCTGCTGGAACCCAGGCACCACTTGTGTTCCTGTGGCTTCTTTCCAACTCCAAAATTTAGCACATGGTGTTCAGGTGGACAGACGCTCTAACACAGCACTGCGTGGCTTTGAAAGGGATGCTGATGCTGTGGAAGGAGGAGGAACAGGAAAGGGCAATTAATAGGGGAAAGGCTTCAGTCTCTCCTCCTTTGCCCTCTTCCATTGTTCCCTCTCTGTGGCACCGGTGTGTACAAATACATACACAGCAAGACATAACCGTGTGGTCCTGTGTTGTTCGGATGGCTGTGGAGGATCTCGGGGTTAAAAGTAAAAGGTGTGAAAAGGTGGGGTGTGGAGTTTGGGGGTTTGTTCTATGAGCAGGACTTATTAGGGTGTGCAGGGCAGCACACCACCGTGGTGCAGGTTGAAGTCTAAGGCTGTAAATGATGTTGGGGAGAAAACAGTTAAGTGATCCTTCCCCCGGACCCCATCTGTGTTCTGTTAACTGTGCCATGATTCCCAGTCCAAGAGGTGGAGGTTTTCCTGTCCAGTATTTAAACTGTACCATTAACCTTACTCAAGAGAAGTAAGGCTTTGGGGTTATTCTGTTTAAGAGGAACTTTAGTTGTTCAGACAGGTTTTAGTTTGGATATTGAGGTTTCACTGTTTCCTAGGTATCGATCTGTTATATTTTCCCTTTTCCTGAAAGCATTAGTTTTAAGAGGGCAGCAGACCTCCTATAAACATGGTTGGGTTTTTACTTGATTCCTTTTAAATTTTAACAATTTTTGTGATTCTTTTTTTTTTTTATTTAAATTGCTTTGTATTAATAAATACAATCAGTAACTGGCAGCAGCAGAACAGGAATTGTGCCGAAATTATTACTGTTGGTGACTTGAGACTGGTGGTGGTTGCTTTCATGGCAACATTTTTCCGTGTTTCCCAAGATTCATATTCCCACGTGCAACACAACAATTCAAAACCATTTTCTTCTTTGCTAGGTGATCTTTGGAGCTATGACTTCTACAGTGGTGAATTTGTTGTGTCTCCTGAACCTGACACTAGTGTGCACACCATTGATCCCCAGAAGCACAAATACATCATCCTTGGCAGCGATGGGCTGTGGAACATGATCCCACCTCAAGATGCGATCTCCATGTGCCAGGATCACGAGGAGAAAAAATACTTGATGGTGAGAGCAGTGGCTTGAAGTTGTTGTGGAAATTTAATACTTATTTCCTCTAAAAACTGCTTAGTGTCTCGTATGGAAAGTACCTAACATAGCTTGGCCACACCATATTCGTTGGCTGATACTGTGGTGGCATATACTGTCAGATACCATGGATGTCAACGTTGTTTAAATTACTTGGTTGCCATTTTAGGGAAATTTGACTGCCAGGATGGTATCTGTGAGTAATAATGCTGATAACATGTTCCTTCTCTAAGGAAGTTACACCAAATGTCTGAAAATGAAATTTATGTCACATTAAGATGCATGTTACAATGCAGACAGTTGTTTATTGGCTTTTACATGACTTGTACAAAGTCTGAGTTAAGTTCTTTGGCTTATTTTGCAAACCAGTTGAGAATTTATGTAGTGGAGCATCTGAGCATCAGACCATGAATAGTCTGTAAACCTCTTGAGAGACTTCAGGAAAGACTGTAGGATGTGTTACAACCAGGCTATTTATGCAAGTCATTGCGTCAGTTCTGTGGTTTAAAGCACTCATGTATGTGTGGATTCTACAGTAAACTGGTTTTAACATGATATTTCATTAAGAAGAAAGATGAATTTCAATTAATATGTCCTCTTGTGTTTCTGAATCAAGCTACTTCAGCATGGGATACGTAGGAATATATAACTCGGGCTGTGGCATAACTGTCCATCTTCCATTTATAATGTCAAGTGGATCTGATTGCTTTCTCTGTCCCTTTCTGTGAACATGAAGGGAGAGCACCGGCAGTCGTGCGCCAAAATGCTGGTGAACAGGGCGCTGGGCCGGTGGAGGCAGCGCATGCTGAGAGCAGATAACACCAGCGCCATCGTCATCTGCATCTCGCCGCTGCAGGGGAGCAAAAGCAACTTGGAAAACGAAGAAGAACTGTATCTCAACTTGGCAGAGAGTCCCTGCTACAGCAGCCCTGATCTGAACAGCATGACACCCTCCCGCTGCTGCACCCCACCCGTCAAGGTAAGGGTTTTCTTTCTGTGTTTTCAGTGTTCCACTTCAGGGTGTGGAGCCCACTAAATACAGAGCAGCCTCCCCTTCCTCCCCCTAGGAGTAATTTCTTTTTACGCAGCTTACTTTGATGTGTAGGATTGGGGCAATGGTGCAGGCAGACCACTGCCAGTGATTGAAGTAATACTGCTGGAAACTACTGGCCTGGTAAATTTAAACCACTGGGTTTTGTGGCTGTATTTTGTTTGGTTTCTTTCTTTCTTAAAAATTGTATTTTTATTGAAGTGCAGAGGCCTGGGCAGTACCTGTGGCTGGATAATGCATTTCATTTGCAGGGCAGTCATTTGAGAGCAGTCACCTGGCCGTAGCCTCAGTACCTCCCTGTACAAAGCCCTGGAGAAAGGGATGGACTTTTAACAGTTGTTTCTTAAAAGACTTTGGGACACCAAAGGCAGAGTATTAAAGTCTGAACTGCTCAGAATTGCTGCATTTAGGGATTACAATGTTTTTGTAATTTTTAAAATACTGAGTATTTATTAGTAGCTGTTAATCTGTGTTCCCTCCTTAATGTAGGAGGAATTCTTACTGTAACTTCATGCATAAAGTTGACATAACTTTAAATGCACTCTTTCTTTAAACTAAGTTTTCCAGGATCCCCCCAGAATCAAGTAGGCTGTTGAAAGAGAGGAATGGGATGGTGGGGCTGAGGGATCTAAGAGAGAAATAAACCAAACACATCCTCTTAGAGAGTAAGGTCAGGCTGCAGTTTCTTTCCCTGCCTTGCCATGCACAGCTGATGAATTGCAGGCTGCTTGTGCACAGGTTCTTAATCTTAGTGTGGTTGGTTTAGTTTTGTTATGGTGTGTTTTTTTGGCAATTACTTTTTTTTAAGGTAACCCATGGGTTAATGTATTCAAACACACCTTGTTGTAAAGAATGTTATCTTCCCCTGTTTGATCTAACGGTCTTTGTTAGAGGAGAAGTCCTTGTAATACAAGGTCTTTCTTCAGGTTAGAAGTTTTAACCGTTAACATAAAGCAGAGCTGTTTAGAAGAAAAATGTTGGTTTTGGTTCCCCCCCCCCCTTCTAAGAACTGGAGTGTAGTTGGGAGTGGATGTTTGCTCAGTAATTACCAGCTGCTCCTGATTTAAGTAACAGTCCTTTGATGTTGTGCAGTATCTTTGGATAACTGTCCTCTGGGCAAAGTAAAAAGCAAGCAAAAATTGGAAAGGGAGTTCTTGACATTCGCTTGCTAGAAACAAGCTGCTAATAAAATGGCAAACTGAAACACTGTCTCCTTCCCTTCCATCCAGTGGAGCAAAATATGTGGAATTTGAATTCTAAATACTTCTATACTTTTAAGTTGTACCATATGCTTTGTGTGTGATCTATTATCAGTATTGAATAAACACTGAGCTACATTGGCTTCAACATATCCAGGATGTAGCATTTCTGCATTAGGACTTAATGAAAATATTGAGCTTTTCCTTAGGATTTCCCCTTCCCTTCTAAGTAGATTCAGTGAATTGTGGTGTGTGAATCTTGATAAATTGCAGCAGGCAGTCACAAAGAGTAAAAAGATCAAAACTTACAGGTTTGGTGTTTGTAGTTAAGGCCTTATTTTATTTTACTGCTTAATGTGCAAAACCCGAAAGAAATTTTTGACTGGCTACAGGTCTTTGTTGATTTTTTTATATATA